ATCCCCCCCCCCCCGCCTTTTCCTCCTTTTAGCTTACGTGGTATGGATGAGCTCAAAGTGACTTCGGAGAGTTTTCGCCTACCATTTGATAGTTTGCATTTCGACAGCTCGGAAGGAAGCAGTTCCCCTCCCCTCCTTGAAGAAGAGCCCGGGGGAGTGAAGACCAGCAGCAGGAAACTGGGGAGGGGAAAGGAGCCGGCTTCTTCTTCTTCTCCCCGGCTTAGACTGGGGAGGGGGCAGGTGGGGCAAGGAGGCTGGGGAGGGGCATGAGTTTTGGAGGGGGGAGAGGTGAGGCCCCTCCCCCAGTCCTTCTGCCTCTGGCCCCAGCAAGCCCTCCCCCCTTCCCCCTCTGCCCCCCCAAGCGATGTATCCATGTCCTTTGCTGTTTGGGAAAATGATGAAGAAGAGGAGGAAGAGACTGGATTTCTACCCCATGGCCCTTCACTACCCAGAGGAGTCTCAGAGCGGCTTACAGACTCCTTTCCCTTCCCTTCCCCACAACAGACACCCTGTGAGGTAGGTGGGGCTGAGAGAGAGCTCTTTTCAGAACTGTCCTTGAGAACAGCTCTGACAGAACTATGGCTTGCCCAAGGTCATCCAGCAGGTGCAAGTGGAGGAGTGGGGAATCAAACCTGGTTCTCCCAGAAGTCCACGCACTTCACCACTACACCAGACTGGCTCTGATACTGATTCTAGACTAGAAGAGAAGAAGAGATTGGATTTATACCCCCGCCCTTCACTACCCAGAGGAGTCTCAGAGCGGCTTACAGACTCCTTTCCCTTCCCTTCCCCACAACAGACACGCTGAGGTAGGTGGGGCTGAGAGAGAGCTCTTTTCAGAACTGTCCTTGAGAACAGCTCTGACAGAACTATGGCTTGCCCAAGGTCATCCAGCAGGTGCCAGTGGAGAAGTGGGGAATCAAACCTGGTTCTCCCAGGTTAGAGTCCGCACCACTACACCAGACTGGCTACACTTAACCACTACGCTTAACCACTACACCAGATTGAGGGAGAGCCCCCCCATCAACCCTCTTGGTCCCTGTCCCCCCCCCCCTCTCGAAATCCTGCTCTTCTGAGTTGGGGGCTGCTTTTCTTCTCCGCTTGGTGTGTGGAGAAAGGGGGTGGTGGTGGAGAAGGGGGGGGGGTCCCATGATATCCTTCTCGATCATGTCACCCCTCAGCCGTCGTTTTTCCAAGCTAAAGAGCCCCAAGCGCTTTAAGCTTTCTTCATAGGGAAAGTGTTCCAACCCTTTTGTCATTCGAGTTGCCCTTTTCTGCACGTTTTCAATGCTATAATATCCTTTCTGAGGTGTGGCGACCAGAACTGTACATAGCACTCCAAATGAGGTCACACCATTGATTTATACAGGGGCATTATGATACTGGCTTATTTGTTTTTAGTTCCCTTCCTAATAATCCCCAGCATATTGCAGCCGCACACTGTCTCGACATTTTCAGTGAGTTACCTGATTGCCAACCTGGTTACCAACCTCCTGGAATCACCAGGATCAGTGGACCTGACTGGTCCCAGTGGGACCATATGTAACTTAACATCAAAGAAAGCTCCCAAGTATTCCAGTTCTTTAAACAATTTTTGTTGTTTCCAAGCCATCTTTACATGCTTAGATGAGAGAATGCCTACAGCGGGAGGCTACACATTTTCATCATGAAAATTCTTCTTCTTCCCCCAGCCAGGCCCAGACCATCATTAAAGTGTCCAATTCTCTGCCAAATAATTTTAAGTAAATGAAAGCATTTGGG